GCACTGCGGCGTCGAGGGGTCATGATATTCATGTACCTCGACGATTGGCTAGTAGTGGGCCGTTCTCGAGGGGAGACGGAAGCGGCGCTCCAACTAACGTGGCAACTTGCTTCCGACCTGGGATTTCTCATCAACACCAAGAAATCCCATCCAGTCCCCTCTCAGGTTCCCACCTTTCTAGGTGCATCCCTCGATCTTCGCAGGGGACTGGCCCGGCCATCGGAGGACCGCCTGCTGAACCTTCGGCAGTGCGTGTCCCTCTTCCTCCCGACGGTAGTGGCTCCGGCCCGAGCCTGGCTCAGGCTGTTGGGCCTTATGGCCAGTCTGGTGGACTTGGTGGATTTTTGCAGGCTGAGGATGAGGCCAATTCAACTTCACCTGCTGTCTTTCTACAGACCCCGCTGGCACCCGATCAACCATCCGGTGCCCACTACGTCTTGGCTAGTCCCCCACCTTCGTTGGTGGCTAGTCGAGGCCAACATAACGCAGGGCCGCGTTTTCCGCCCGCCCCGCCCGTCGGTACTTATCACAACCGACGCGTCAGGGTACGGCTGGGGGGCTACCCTCCACCCGCGACAGGTCGCGGGCGTATGGGGCCCCGCACATCAGTCATCCCACATCAATGTCCTGGAAATGCTGGCAGTCACCAACGCACTAAAACATTTCCAGTCGGACGTCAGAGGGCAAGCAGTCCTGGTACGATGCGACAACGCCACAGTGGTGGCATACATCAATCACCAGGGTGGCACTCGGTCAGGCCATCTGTGTGCACTAACGTGGGATCTCACCCTCTGGTGCATACATCACGGGATAGCCCTGTCGGCAGTCCACATCCCGGGGGAAGAGAACGTCACAGCCGACGCTCTCTCCAGAGGCTGGATCGCCCCGACAGAGTGGTCACTGCTCCCACAGGTGGCTCAGTCGATCTTCAGACTAATCGACCGGCCGCATGTGGACCTATTCGCGTCGCGAATGAACAATCAGCTACCGATCTACTGCGCGAGGGGCCCAGATCCCAACGCGTGGCAGACTGATGCACTGTCGGTGCGGTGGGACGGCCTACTGGCCTATGCCTTCCCACCCATCTCCCTCGTGTCTCGAGTGCTGACCAAGATCGAGCAGGAGGATTGCCGAATTCTCCTCATAGCCCCGTTCTGGCCCCGCCAGCCGTGGTTTCCCCGGCTCGTCCGACTCTTGGTTCACCGCCCGGTAATTCTACCGAGGAGGGCCGATCTCCTTTATCAGCCCAGCTCGGGAATCAATCACCAGGCTCCGGGGGATCTTCACCTGACGTGCTGGGTATTGTCACGCGATCCCTCTGCTCAGCAGGCCTTTCGCGACGAGCTGCAACAATTGCAGCCCAGTCCCGTAGAGCCTCAACCAGAAAGGTGTACGATAGCCGACTACGCCATTTCTTTAAATGGTGTAGACGGCAATCCATTCATCCCCCCAATACTTCTGTAGGGGAAGTGGGGGATTTCCTCCTATACCTTTTTAACAGTGGGCTCACGATGGCCACGGTCAAAAATTATCGATCGGCCGCGATCCATCAGGGATTTTCGGACGGTTCCTCCGTTTCCGGCAACCCTGCAATTAGCCAACTGATCAAGGGGATGTTTAATACTCGTCCCCCAGTACGCACATTAATCCCATCTTGGGACCTCTTCGGTGTATTATCTACACTGGCGAAGGCTCCCTTTGAACCAATGAATTGCTCAACTTTGTTACAGCTCTCCATCAAAGTAGCTTTTCTATTGGCTGTTGCTACGTCCCGACGACGTAGCGAACTACACTCGTTATCGATACAGACGGGACACATCCGGTGGGAACCGGGGGGTGTCCGCCTGATCCCTATGGCCGGTTTTCTCGCAAAGAACCAGTCGGAGACCTTTATGCCCCCGGACATCTTTGTCCCGGACATCAAGTCTTTTTCGAACGAGGCAAACGATAAACTTTGGTGCCAAGTTCGAGCACTTAAGTGGTATGTCAACCGTATGAAGTCACTTCGTACGGGACACGAAAAATTGTTCATCACGACGACCCCGCCCCATGGGCCGGCGTCCCGTGATACAATCACTCGCTGGATCGTGACAGCTATCCGGTCCGTACCGGGCGGCTGGCCAGCGACCCAGGGACCCATTCGAGCGCATGAGGTCAGGGGAGTGTCCACCTCGTGGGCCTTTTTTATGGGTGTCCCCCTAGGTGACATCGTCAAGGCAGCCTGCTGGAAGAACCCTACCACGTTCTCCGAATGCTACCTGAAGGATGTCCTCCAGGCAGATGGCAAGGCTGGAAGAGAAGTGCTGCTAGCGGCCAGTCGAGCCTCACGGAAGCACTAACGGGTGAGCATATCAATATACATATATATATTTGTATGGGCATTAAGTTTACTTAGGTGTACCTATCATGTGTTCATTCCCATAATGGTTACACCCCCCTGACTTCTTGCGCACGAGCTCTTTGGGTTCCCCTGACGAGGTGAAACCTAGAGCGTCTGGGGTGTAGGTTTTTGGTTGGGTGTTGTTTGCCTTTGGACACGCCTCATGTCCTACACCCCTGTAGACATACGGTAATTTGCGTATACCCACCGCCTTACTCGGTGCGAGTCTATGCATATGTAGTATTCGCTCTACAGGTAAGTAGAGTGATGTAGACTCCCCCCCCCACAGTAGTGTGGTTGGGGTCTACGAGCGAATACTTACCTGTAGAGCACCCCTCCCTCCTTCCCCACTATACTCGATTCCTTGAGTGCTTACGCAAGTAACGCTTGAGAAAAAGAGGACGCTAACGTAGTGCGCATGTCACAGGGCGTCGTGGGTAGGACACGTGAGGGCGCTATTGTATGTAAAACTCTTAGCGAATTGCCTGCCGGCATAGGGAACAATGCATATGTAGTATTCGCTCTACAGGTAAGTATTCGCTCGTAGACCCCAACCACACTACTGTGGGGGGGGGGAGTTTGTCTTGTTCATGACATTTGAAGTTTTCACAGGCACTAAAATATTTATTGTAGAACCCCACGAGGCAATCTTTAACAAACAATAGATTTCTTTCGACTACATTTTTTTATTTTGATAAAAATAAAAAGCTGACTTAAAATAAAAGCTGATTAAACAGTATTTTTAGTGGGTTTCTTTATTGCTCATGACACACTGTACCAGACTTCAACAAACCTGACTAATTTTCTAAGCTCATAGTTACATACTCAATGTATTTTGAGAGCATGTTGACAATATTCAAATACGGTCAATCAGTAGATAAAAAAAATCAAAATAAAATGTGTTCACCAATCTGATTACTTGATAATCCCCTCTTCCATTATGTACAAGTTTAAATGTTGGGAAACCACTGATACTATGTATTTGTCAAACACAAAATGGTCTTAAATGTAAACAAACGACAACTGAGAAAAGACGGTTGTTTCATGAAATCATTGTTGCTATGTTCTTAGAAAAAGTTTTTGAAAATGTCTTTGACAAAATATACAGTGAATGAACTAACTAGTGATACAATAACAACGGCTTCCAAATTAAGTGATCTATAAATGATAAAATACAAATATATCTTTTTGAGTTGCATCATTGGTGTAAAAACAGGCAGCCCTCATTATGTATGCAAATAACACTAAGAGCAGAGTTGTAACATGCCCAGTGGAAAATGCGGCTCAAACGTATGTGAGATGCTGATTGGTAAAATAACAGACTTTGGTTCTAAGCTGAAATGCCATTGTTGTCATGGAAGCTGCGGTCTCTTGGAGAGATATTCTGTAATTAAAGCAAATGCTTACTGCTTCATTTAGACTACTTGGTCTATCAGCATTTAGCAAACCAATACTTATTCAAAGAAGCAAAAGCCTCAATCATTGATGGAAGTAACTAAACTATTATTGTAATGATATGGAACCTCTCACAAGTAGGTAATTCTATACATTTAGGGTTCAAAGTCTGACATTTATCTTGTCCCTGTAACCTCGGAAATGTATAATTGGCCATTCGAGTGGCATTAAAAATGTTTTCAAACTAATTAATATTTGTTGGGTGGGTCATTTGATTCACAGAAGCATTCTTGGAGGAAGAGTACACACATAAAGGAGTGCATCTTCAATTACAAAATTGTAGATGCCAGACGTATAGGGACAGGAAAAAGTGGACCCCTAATTCATAGAATGTTCCAAATGCATTTTGTATTGTAGTATTCAAACAATCACATTTAAGAAAGGCCAAAAAAAAAAAGGATTTCAGTTTACATATGTACATCCATCATAATAACCACATTTACAAACATCCATGTATCATTGCAGTAGAATGCACAAGGTTTTCATTTTCAACTTGGTTGTAAATGTAATGAAACTAATATTTATTTGATGAGGCACTCAGAAAGCACTGTGAAAGAGACAACCAAGGGATTGCATATGATTTACTTTTAAACTATCGCTTTAGTTGAAAATCACATATTACCTCCAGTTGCTTTTGTGTATTTACTTTTGTCTCGTGTTCAGGGAGGTGCAAAATCTTTTTCATTCCAAAAATTGTTGCATTAATTTAAACTCAACAATTTTTCCAAGAATTGAACAATTGAATAACAAAACTTAAAGAAATGTTAACATTTCATACAGGAGCAGAGTTGTATCTTATACTTGGAAACACATCATGCATTGACTTTGTATTTGCTGAGACAAATCAGAGAAAATTGAATTTCCTCTCGTGGTAATACCTTCCGGACCATTGGTACCTTCCTCTTGATTGTAATATTCTTAGAATGTGCACTCTGCCCTATTTGCAAGCAATGTGAAGGGTCATTCCTGATTGCTCTCATTATTGGGCCACCAGATCTAAAAAAAAATTAGGAGTAAGGCTGGGTGTTGAAGTCCAAGATTTTAAAGGGGAAGTGGTTAAAGTGTTAGAGTCAAAGCATACAGAGACCATAGACCTTAGAAATAAACCAAATGTACAGTATTGTAGAATGTCATTCGAGGGAATTATGTTCTTTTTCAGTGATAACAGTGTTCAATGTCTGATGGAAGTGGTTGGTGGATACACTGGATAACCCCAGTTTAATTAATCTGTCCTTACACTCGGTGATAGACCTTTACAGACTCTCCTGCAGCCACTACCAGATCACCGTCCCATGTGAATGTGATGCCACGTGGACGACCACATCCCTTGATCACACATCCAATGTACTTGCCATTAGGACTGTAATGCAGAATATCACCAGTTGATCCACTCACAGCAACATAGATGCTGCCATCACTGTCACAGCACATATTCGTAGGGTACCCATCCACCGGCATGTCGCTGGTCATGTCTGCTGAAAATCTGGCTCCATAGTAGTCTACACATGTCAATCTTTTTCTGTAGGATGATGTGTAGATTAGGCGGTGTTCGTACATTGTCAGATAATCATCAATCATTGGAGCAGGCAGTCTCCTGATGAGGGATCCATCTGGGTTGTGTAGAGATATCTCATCCTTGCCTTCATAACCCACTGCTATCAGATTGCTGTCATCCACTGCAAGGCATGCTGGTTGGCTGTCTAATCCTCTACCTGGTGTGAACTGATGGAGGAGCTGATGTTGCTTGTTGAAGACCTTGACTACTGGACCATCTACAGCAAGGAGCTTGTCATCCTTGCTCACTGCAATACACCTTACATCAGTGAGGCCATTAATCTGCAACTTTTGTTGGATAGGAGATGGTTTCTGGTGACTATTGAGCATTGAAACTGTGAATAGGGCATATCCAGCAAATGCACTAGAGACTAGTGCAAGTATTGTATTGTTAGATAGCCCAGCAACAACTGATTTAATTGCATGGGTGAATCCAAAGTTCTCAATTTCAGTTTTCAGTTTCCATTTCTCCTCCACACATGATCTTGCAGGTCTTGGTGATTGCTTTGCTGCAGCCTGTGGCTCTTCCTCCAGAATGAGTCTCCCAAGTGACCTCTCACCTTCTTCAAAATCCATGAAGGTTAAATTGTCAGGAAATTTCTCTGGCTGTTTCCCTGTCAATTCACTGAGGTTATGCAAAAGCTTTTGCTGAAGTTCAAGAATCTCATGGCAACTTGCTTGATTCATGAGTTGTTTCACCTCCTCCAGCTTGTGCTCTATCTGTGTCACCTCTTTCCTGTTGGTAGCTTGAGCAGCTTCAAATGATGTGACTCTGTCATTATAAGTCCTGTCCATCTCTTTCATCAATTTCTGTTCTTCCTTTTGGATCTTTGCAAGCTCCTGTTGGATCTTTGTAATCTCCCGATGAGACTTATTGGAGAGGTTTTTTTTAGCGTTGGCAAACATTGTGTCCAGATCCTTGCGAGATTTGCACATCGCATCTATGATGGTGCTCAATTCTGTTTTTCTGCTCTCACTTTTTTGGACCATTTCTGCAACCCTTTTCTTGCATTTCTCCAATGCCTCGGGTAATCCAGTGAGTGAGTGTTTTGCATGATCAAGTACCGAGCAAGTTGTGCATATGACTTGCTGACATGTGTTGCAGTAGACATTGAGATTCTGATCTGGATGCTTGCCACATTTGGGAACTTCTTCTCTTAGTTTACTCTTGTAGACAATCTCTCCTGATCGAAGTTGCGCCAATGTGTAGATTTTGTGCGAATTGATGACAGTCATACGTTCATGAGCCTTTTGGCATTCTTGACAGAGGAAATGATCACAGTCCATGCATCTTGAAATAGCCTGATTCTCCTCTTTACAGTTTTGACATTTGATGTCTGACCCTTGACCTTCCAGTAGCTTTTCCTGCATTGTAACTTCCTCCACCAGAGCACTGAATGCAAAGTTATTAGGGAGATCAGCAACCCCAGACCCTTTCAACATGGTTTCACGTCTGCACAGAGGACATGTCAGCTTTGTACCACTAGGATCTTGGCTCTGTCTGAGCTCTTGGAGGCATTCGAGGCAAAAACTATGCAAACAGTCCAGCAGTTTGGGCTGCCTGAAACGGTTGGTGCAGATGGAGCATTCAAGATGATCCACACTAATCATCTTCAACACTGACTGGGCTGTAACATTAGATGCCATCTTCACTGTTGGGCTTGGTGTGATAGTATGACCTTTAACCTACAAATGAAGCACATTAAGTAAAAGGTTTTGGAATTACATGTATTTCAACTTCTAATGATCATTTGGTTGAAATAACCTACATGTAAAGTTTAAAACATTCTGTCAAGTAGAGTATTCATAAAATAGAAGGTTTATTCACATACTATACGCATGATTCAAACCTGATTTTAGTTTTTTTTCCCAAAAGAAAATAGCAACTTGTATAATAGGGTTACCATGTTCATGAAAGAGCATACTTTGTCCTGAAAATGTAACATCAAAGAATTCTTTTCAGCTGTTTTTCAGCTGGGACATTTTCCACGCCTAATGTAAGTTGTAATAAAGTTCATAACAAGTCAAAATAAAAGTAGGTCGCATGTGAAAAGGTTTTTAATGGCAAAAAAATGCCTTTGGCACAGTTTGTTTTATAAATAGTTTGTGAGTTGACCTGAGAAAGAATGACTTTTCATTGACTTGATGAGGACGTGGCTACCAGTCTGAATGAAACAGTTCACAAAAACTAGCATTTTTTTTCTAAGACTGGGGTTTGCTCTTCACCGACGTATTTTAATAAACACTGTATACTCGGTGTTGTAAAAAGTTCATGAAAAGAGCACTCGCTGTAAAAACTTTTTTTGTAAAATAAAAAATTGGGAGTGGGGGCTAGTACTATCTTCCTATGAGGGCGCTGTTCAAACTAGACGAACATGGACAATATGATTACAGACCAGTAAATAAACTTCCATAGACCCCAATGGTAAATGCTCCCACTTCCGAAATTCGGGAAAAATACTCACAAGTTCACAACTCTCCAATCTGTTCGAGACACACATCAAATTGAAGCTTATTTCATCATCTTACTTTTTTTTCTCCAACTTTTGGGGGGTCAACTGATGACTTTTAGGAGAAATTTCCATCCGAAGATGATCTCCCCTGAAAATAGTCCTGAAGCCCATCGCCATTTTGAAAAAACGATGCCGACACTCCAATGCAAAATAGAGCGCTTTAAGGGCCCCAATTTCATCCAAATTGAACAGAACTACAAGTTCACAGTCTTGTGCACGGCTTCCACCCATATTTTTTTTCAAACCCTCAAGTTCATGACCCACAGCATGCTTAAATACTGAAGATTTTGAGGGCATGCAAATCGTAATTTACTGGTCTGCAACCATATGTGTCAGTTGTCAGGACGGCACAACTAATGCCGATTGTGTGAAATTTCAAAAAGGGCACTCGTAAGAGGGTGCTGGTAACAAAAAGGGCACTGGTTTAAAAAAACCCACATATTTAAAATTAAACTTTTACAAATAGGGGGGAGTAAATGCTGGTGTAAAAAGGGCACTTGTATACAAAAGGTCAGTCTTACTATTACTCAGGTTGGACTCGAACCCAGTACCTCCTGTTTAGTGCAGACGTCTTACCACTCCACCTTTTGAGCTTGCCTGGGTCAGCTGGGTGGTTTGAGTCGAGGTGGGCAGGAGTTACTGCAACCAAATATTGCCTGCACCAGAAAATATATATTTCAAGTACTTTAACTGGCCCATATTTCAATTGTAAACTTGTCAAAAAAGTCCACTTTTCTGTAAGAAAATAAAAATAATAATAATAATAAAAGAACATATGTAAAGCACCGGTATCCACCTAAAAAAGGGGCTCATGGCGCTCGAGGAGAAAGTCAAGTTAGGATTGTGTGTTGTGAGAGTAAGCTTGTTTGTACAGGTGAGATTTTATGTTTGTCTTAAATGTTGTGATGGATGGAGATGATTTGATAGCCAGAGGGAGTTGGTTCCACACTCGGGCTGATGCTGCAGTAAAGGATCTGTCACCCCAAAGAGTGGAGGTCCTGGGCTCATGAAGCATGATGAGCTCACTGGAGCGGAGTCCGGTGCGTGCTGTTGAGTACGGGTGGATGAGCTCCATGAGATACTCCGGTGCATTGTTGTGGAGGATTTTGTACACGAATAGGCCAAGTTTGTATTTGATTCTATATGATACTGCAAGCCAGTGGAGATCTGCTAGTACAGGAGTGATGTGAGAATGTTTACTGGTGAGAGAGATTAGTCTGGCACTGATGTTTTGTAGTCGCTGCAAACGGTTTAGTTGATTTAGGTTAATGCCATACAATAGTGAATTGCCCATGTCAATTTTGGATGTGATGAAAGCGTGAACAAGTATTTCAGTTGTGTGTTTGTCAAGGTATTTACGTATGTGTCCGATGTTACGGATCGACATGCAGACTGATCTAGCGATTGATGTAAGGTGAGGTTCCATGGATAGAGATGAATCAAAGATAATACCAAGATTTCTGACTTGATTTGATGGCATGATGGCTGAATCACCAACCCTTATGGATGGAACATGAACTTTGCACGATTGCTGCTTTGAACCTATGATGATAAATTCGGTCTTTTCATCGTTGAATTTGAGCCAGTTGTGAGTCATCCAAGAACGTACGTCATCAATGCATGTTTCCATCTGCTGGATTGCTGAATCAACCTTGTGTTGTTGAGGGTCTACTGACATAATTGGGTATCATCTGCATAACAATGATAGGATAGACCATGCTTTCGAATGATTTCACCAAGTGGCATTGTATACAGAGAGAACAAGACGGGCTCTAGGACTGATCCTTGAGGTAGCCCAAAATCAAGAGAGACAGTAGATGAACTTGAATCATTGACCCGGACAAATTGGGATCGGTCATTAAGGTATGATTTAAACCAGTCTAATGCAACTCCATCTATCCCAATGCGATTGTTGAGACGGCTGAATAATGTGGGATGGTCAACTTTATCAAAAGCTGCTGATAGGTCGAGCCACACGAGCAATGATATCTTGCGCTTGTCCATAGCCTGCAAAAGGTCATTTTGGATTTTGAGGGTGGCAGACTCGACGCTGTGATTAGCACGGAAGGCAGATTGATGCGGGTCATGTAGATTATTCTCAATGAAGAAAGATGAGAGTTGCATTAAGTCTACCCTCAAGGGTTTTACTCAAAAGGGAAAGATTCGAGACTGGTCTGTAATTCTTCATTTCCTCTTTGTTTAGATGCGGCTTCTTTAAAAGAGGTCGTATCTGAGCAACTTTCATATCATCCGGTACATCACCAAACAGTAAACTGTCATTAATGATGCCAGTGAAAACCGGCACAAGGGAAGCTGAGCATTTCTTAAACAGGGATGATGGAATTGGATATAATTCGCATGATTTAGATGATGATTTACTGAGAATGTTAGACACATCATTTTCTGTAACTGGCTGAAATGATGTGAGGTGATGTGAGGCACAAAGCTCTTCCTCATGCAGCAAATCAGTAGTAACACGCTTGAAACCTTGGCGAATCTTCTGGATCTTCTCAGTGAAGGAACAGCAGAACTCATTTGCCAGATTCTCGTCAGTGCTTTCAGGGAGAGGGGACACACGACACCTGTGAAGTAATCGGTCAGTTAGTTTGAAAAGCTGTTTTTGGTCTTTGGCATTGGCCAAGAACAGCTTGTTGTAGTAGTTTTGACTTAGCGGTCGCCATCATGTGATTGACCTTTTGCTTTTGTTCTTGGTAGAGCAGGCGATCATTTTCAAGACGTGATCGTCTCCAGGCACGTTCTAGATGTCGCCGTTTCTGCTTTTCAGTATGAAGATCATCGCTATACCACAAGCAGTTGGGTCGAATTTGTATTGTGCGTTTCTTGCTTGGGGCATGTTTATCCAGGAGTTTTTTCAGGGTATTGTTGTACCTTTTCACCCTAGTTCCTAGAGCAGCCGTTGGGGTTGAGTGGAATAGATCCTTCCGTGTCGCCTTGTCCTTCCGTGGGTGGGTGGGTGGGTGTGTGTGTGTGTGTGTGTCCGGACAAATCTTGTCAGCGCGATAACTTGAGAAATACTTAACATATGAACTTCAAATTTGGTTTGTGTATTGTTCTTGGTAATCCTAAGAAACCTATTGCATTTGGGGCCGAAAGGTCAAGGGTCAAGGTCACAGTGACTAAAACAAAAGAAATTTTGTCAGCGCGATAACTTGAAAAATACTTGACATATGAACTTCAAATTTGGTTTGTGGATTGTCCTTGGCAATGCTAAGAAGCCTTTTGCATTTGGGGCCAAAAGGTCAAGGGTCAAGGTCACAGTGGCTAAAACAAAAGACATTTTGTCAGCGTGATAACTTGAGATATACTTAACATATGAACTTCAAATTTGGTTTGTGGATTGTTCTTGGCAATCCTAAGAAGCCTATTGCATTTGGGGCCTAAAGGTCAAGGGTCAAGGTCACAGTGGCTAAAACAAAAGAAATTTTGTCAGCGCGATAACTTGAGAAATACTTTACATGTGAACTTCAAATTTGGTTTGTGGATCGTTCTTGGTAATCCAAATAGGCCTATCGCATTGGGGGTTGAAAGGTCAAGGGTCAAGGTCACAGTCGCTAAAACAATAGATATCTTGTTTTTATTCTAAAATCATAGGGATTAGGGATTAATTCATATAAAACCTACAGAAGACACTAATGCTGTCAATGAAAGTTCCATGTGACCAAGGTACATGTAAGTTGATGTTAAAAGAGTGGTGTTATGTCATGGGAACAGTCACGGTTGCGGGGCATTTGTGTTTGTAAACACACCTGACTTGTTTTGTAATTTACTCAGCAATAACTGTGCCGAATCTTTTTAAAGGCCTAACATTTGTTTTGTAAGACTGCATGTAAGTACAAACAATGCATGTCACTTATTTCTGTCATAAATACAAGATCTGTGTATTCCACGTCTGTATTCTAACAGGTTTGACGGATCCACCTGAATTTCCGTCAAATACGCAAAGCTGTAATTGCCAAATACTGAATTTGAATGTACATGTACTTCATACAAGATAATGTGTTGCTGGTGATTTCTATCAAATGTATAGACAGACTTACAGGTAGACCCACTAAATAAAACTCTTACCTTCAGGTACACATGAAATGAGCTATTGCTATCTTCCCATTCTGATGTCACTTACAGCAATGGTAGAAATGAACAAAGATGGCGATCTACTGTACATATACGCCCCTCTGTATCAACACAGACCATGTCACATGATGTTGAGTTCAGTTATTTGCAGTCCCTGGAGTCCACTTATGTAGCGCTTTGGTACGAGCTGTACGAGTAAAATCAAACACAGCATGCGACTGTTTTCTACATCAAACAGATCCAAAGGTCTATAGGCTGTTAATATTAACAATTTGACAGACAGGTTTATCAGAATAGTAAACATTAAGAAGCCACAGGGTCAAGCTGAATTTCATCACAAATGACATTTGTTGTGAATATCTTTTGATATGTCGCAAGTTAGGATACTCAAGTCTGTAGTATAGACAAAAGTAAACAAATAAGAAAGAGGTACATGTAATGAACCGACAGTAAATAGTTTTG